TGCTTCTTGTGATGAGGAGCTGATACAGAGTCAGAGGCAGGACAGCAGGTAGGGACAGAGATTGGTGACTGAGGTGAGTGATGAAGATGATGCTGCTGTTCTGAATGAAATCTGAAATGTTTACTCAAATCAGTATTTATTTTCAGTCCATTCTAGTCAGTGTGTGAACTTCATGAAAGAAATGATGGATTCAAAGGGGTAATCATGATTAAACTGAACTTTATTACATTCTGGCCTGTTAAAAAAAAGATACTTATTTTTAACTTTCATTTCAAGGAAGTGGTAGAAATTGTGGCACCAAGGTAGGAAGGAACCTTATTCCTGTTTTGTTTTATTAATTACATACAGGTTGACAAAACTGACATTGTTGTGTCCTTTTATGGTATAAAGGCTGCATGACGTCATGTCAGTGGTTATGAGAAATCAGAGAACTGTAAAAATTCACTCTTGGTGGTGATCAGTACACCTGTTCATTGGATGAACTTATTTATATTTTTATTTTTAAACATGCAGTTAAATGTCGTTGTTGTTTGGCACAATGACCTGTTCTACAAATTAAACTAAATAAAACATAAACAATATAAAAGTAAAATGCAACCATAAATTGTGTCAGCCAGCAGTGACTTAAAAACAGGATAAAAAGCTAAAAAAAAATACGCTACATGAAAACAGCTTAATCAATTTAAATACTTAGGTCTCTGGCTTGATCCTCGATTATCTTTAAAACCTCATACTGGCTCAATTTTTAAGAAAACATATGGTTATTTAAAGTCACTTTATCACGCTGTAAAATGTTTTTCCCTTTTAGTCTGAACACACAACTGGTGTTGCCCACTCTAGAATAAGAAGATGCTATTTAAGGTAATACCGCAAAAAATAATATTCGTCCCCTTAATACTTTGTTTAATAGCCTTTGTAGATTTATTCTGAGGTAGGACTCATCACTGTTTTATGTATGTCTTTGAACTGGTTAGCTCCCAAAGCTAGAAGAAAATTACATTGGTTATTTACTTTTCAATGTATTTATTTTAATTTCCCTCCGTATTTAATACAATACTTAATTACATTTAGTTCACATTTTAACTTGAGAAATACTGATCAGGTATTTTTCTTCACACCAAGCATTAGAAAGGAAATCGGACGTTGTACATTTTAGATTAAAGCTCCGTCAGACTGGAATAATGAGCCTCCCTGACTTAGATGCATTACCTGTTTTCGTGTTTTTAAACTGACTTTGCTGACTTACTGTCAAACATCTTGCTCCTGTTTTCAATAAGAACAACGACTCAGTTATTCTGGACTTACTCCTGACATTTGGTATTTATATATTACGTCATGTGGTGTCATGTTGTTGAGTGTATGTACCATACAGTTACTATGAACTTTATGTGTAGATGTATTTTATTTTTCATAATATACTTGCTGGTTCGGTGCAGGAGATGCATTGAGTTGCAATGAAAGTGAGTGTGAGTGTATTTGAGTATGTTTTTGTGTTGTAAAGTTTTATACTGTATCTCAGATTTAATTATTATGATTTGTGCTTTTGTGGCTTATTTTATGTATTTTAAAGGGGACCTATTATGCAAAATTCACTTTTTAAAGTTTTTTTTTACTCAACTTTAGGTACAGTATGTACTTCTTAAAAACAGTCCTAGGACAAAAAAAATGCAGCCAGGGGCATATTTACTGTAAATAAATACATTTACTGTAAGTAAATGTATTTTTAATGTATATTAATGACAAGTTTTATACTTCCGTCATTTTGTGATGTCACAAGCCGTACGAAAACCCACCAGAACCTGCGTTCAGCCCCTTACCTAGCAACCCCCAGGTGAGACTCCACCTCCTCAGTATAAAAAGCCGTCATGGTGTTGTTGTGTAACGTGCAGCTCACTTCACAACAGGCCAACAATAGGGCAATGGGTAGAGTGTTGGACCAGAGAATGGGAGACAAGGATCGAGACCAGCATGGACACAGTTTAATTATTTATTTATTTCCATTCATTATGAACACATTTTCTCATGTACCTCTATTGTTTAGCTTAATTAAAGCCTTGTTAAAGCCTATTTGTTTGAGTTTCTGAGGTATTTTGACCGCTGCTGCTCCCTGCTCTGGTAACAGCATGCAGAGTGAGCGCAGAGCAGAGGAGGGGGAGGAGGAAAAAAAGCTGTGACCGACTCTGCCTCTGGGTCTCTCATATGGTTGTACAACATAGCTTCTGCTATTATTAGCCATGCTAACGTAAACGTTGGCTTTGGAGGGCGGAGTTAATGTCAACAGATTTTTGGAGGGCGTTACCAACAGAGCTCATTAACATAAACAGCTCTTCTGAACGGAAGTCAGAGCAGGCAGAACTAGAAAATGGGAAATTTTATTAACTGAGAATTATTTTGTGCATTAAATTGAATAAACATGGTCTGGAAAGCCCACAGTCATACCATAAACATTTCTAGGACCCATAATTGGTCTCCTTTAAGGACACCCTTGAAAATGAGATGTTACATCTCAAGGTTATCCTTGAAACAAATAAACAAACAATTTAATAAACATGTTTTAATTGCATTATGATTATTATTATTATTGTTGTTTTAAAGGAAATATTGCTTTTACTTTACATTAATTTTCCATTTAATACACGACGCTTTAAGATTGTTGTGAAATTTATTTAAAGTGACTGCACCTTTTTAAAAGGTATTGTCCTGGCCTGGTGAATGAGATCAAGAGATGAAGCAGCGGGTATTTACTAGGGGTGCAACAATGCATGTACCCGTATTGAACCATTCAATACAGTGCTTTAGGTTAAACACACATTTGTATCAAACAATACAGATTTTTAATAATTATTTCATCAACTTGTCTTCTGAAGATGCTCTGTGCTGAAAGATCAGTGGATCTGTGTTCGACTACTCCACCTAGGCTGCATTTTTGAGCGCAGAACCACTGAGAAACTTGCTGTTTCAGCAACATTTAATTTAAAAACTGTACTTTTGAGGTTAAACAAATGTTCATAAATGATTTCAATAAATTACAAGTTAAAAAGTGCATGGAAATTTCAGTTATTTGTATCAAAATAATATCGAACCGTGAGACTAAAGTATCGAACCGAACCGAATCGTGAATTTTCTGTATCGTTGCCCCCTTAGTATTTACATAATATAGCAAGTTACACCACCCTGTGTAGTGTGTTGCTCTGATGGAAATCTTGTACAATTGACAATATTCCCAAAAATCCAGTTGGAGGCAGCGTGTGTGCATGTTGACACTGGTGGAATCGAACCTCCGAGTTTCTCACTGGAGGACGACTGCTCCCACCGCTCAGAGAGGGCTGGGTTAGTCAGCGATGTAAATCCAGATATCTTTGCAGTTTTTTTTTTTTTTTTTTGCAAAGAACCTTGGAGGTCTGGACAAAATAAGGAAACATTTCTGGAGATGAGAACTTTTACAACCCCCCTCTCACCCGATTGTTCAGGAACAGCCGACCGGTTTCCAGAGTTTAAAAAAAAAGCATCAAGTTTCCTCTAGAAGAAAGCGACGACTGTATTTAATTCATCACGGTTCATTCAGGCCAAAACGGCCAGAGGACTTCTTCAGAAGGATGAAAAATCAGCCAGAGAGACAGAGAGAGAGAGAGAGAGAGAGCTGAGCAGCGGCAGGCGAAGCAGTGACAGACTGTTTATTGGTCAAAAGCATCTGATGTGCACATTCCTGCTCCCTGACACAACGGAGATCCAGCAAGCAGGCTGCAAACGCAGCGCTCTGCGCTCACAGTGACACAGGCAGCTAAAAAACACAAACACACCGATTACATCACTGACTGGACACTGCTGCAGAGCTGAGGGCACGAGTCATTATGGGGGGAAAACATTATTAAACAAAGCTTTCACTTTTTCCAAAACGGCAAGAAAAGAAGAACTTTCTGAGTTCTGTGACTTTTTTTTTTAACGGTGAAATCCTTAATATGATGTTTTGTCTGTCTGTGAGATCACTTGGCAAACTTTGGTGAAACTTTTAGATAGTGGTCACTAGGGTTGGGCAATATTGGCAAAAAAAATTAATCACGATTAATTTGACGATTAATCCCCCGGAGTCCCTGGACACCCTTATATCCTAGTCACATGACCAATTTATAGGGAGAAAATTGGCTCTTCGTAAAAAACTGTTCCAATTTGTGTCAAAATTACAGACTTCAGGCTTTACATCAAACTTTAAATTGTGTTGATAGATAAATAAATTACACAATTTCTTAATTGTTGGTCATATTTGAATCAGAGAGGAACACCAAGCGGTTAGTCTGCCTGCTGACATTAATCGTATTAATTGTCAAGTGCCAAAAATTAATCGATTAATGTTTTTCTGACGATTAATTACACAGGATACGATTATGCCCAACCCTAGTGGTCACTGAATATAGATCTACAACTAATTCACTTTAAAGTCAGCTGTGTTTAAGATGGCTGCCACAGCTACTAAATATGTACAACATTAAAACAGCTCATGACTCACAGGTGAAATTAGGTGTTTCTGAAACAAATACAACCAGCATGAAATGACACACAGTCTCAATTCAAACAGCGTCTGTCTGTTAGCAAAATAACCCAGAAGTTAAATTTCTCATAATGTGCTTTTTAAAGATGAAATAACTTTCTCGACATTATTTCATCAAAGTGTAAAAGTAGATCTAACATAAGGTTTAAGATGAGATGGAGGAGGAATTCTAATTAGATGTAAAAATGGATAATTGCACTGAGGTGGAGCACCATCTTAATTATGTCTTGCATAATTTACTTCTTTTTTTTTTTACCTTTTATAGATAATTCTGCAGATAACTCTGAAAGAGCTGCACAAAACGTTTAAAAAAAACAGTTTGGCCAAAGTTTGTTTGAATTATCAGCACCAGATTATGTTTTCTTTGTTACTTCATTGTGTTTTTCCTCTTCAGTCCAAAGCACCTGATGAAATATTAAAAGTTATAAAATTTAAAAAAAAGTGATTTTCTTACAGCAGGAGGAGAGTTGGTGTAAATTGGTGGCAGCCTCTCTCTTTCCTTCTCCACTCCTGACAGAGCAGAATGTTCTCCATCCATCCTCTCAGTGGGAAACAATGGAAAACTTGTTGTTTTTGTTTGTTTGTTTGTTTGTTTGTTTTCCTTCCTGAAAAAGCCTCACTCCTCCAGGCTCTCCGTGTCTCTGCTCATGTTTTCTCCAGCTCTGAGCCCGTCAGTCCCCAGACTCTCAGCTCAGATCAGACAGCTTCACATCGTGGAACAAACCGAGCGAGATCTCCCTTCGTCCGACAGGTGGGATCTCCGTTACGCACACGGTGACGCACAAACGTCTCCCCCCACCAACACTAAAACTATAAAAACCTGCGCGTCTTCCTTTTAGGATCCCTCCAAAGATCGCGGAGTTGAAGTTTGGTTTCACCAGAAGTTTTGCTGAAGGTTTTTTTTCTACCCGCTTTTTCTTCGCTTCTTTCTCTGCTTCTCAGCGTCGTCCGTCGGGGAGGCAGCGCTGCGCGCCGGCGCCATGTTGGAAGGAGGAGGAGGAGAGAGGAGGCGCCTGGAGAGCAAACCCTGGAGACAGGAGCGTCACACATGAACGCGCACACGCACGACAAGAGGATAACTTGGGCAATAAAGGAGCTTCAGATTCAACATAAACAAAAAAAAAGGGGTAAAGAAAAAATGTTTTTAAACTTTTGTGATCTGACAAAACGTCTTGAGAAAATAAAATAATGTGGCTCAAGAAAATCACAACTTTATTTAAACTTTTTTTAATTTACATGCTAGCAGTGTTCCTACTAAACAAATGAAATAAAGAATAAGTTATGTCAAATATTATTTATTTTGGAAAAAATGATCAGTAAAAGAAAAGTTGATCAACACTAAAAAAAAGAGAAAACTATTTACAAAGCAGAGCCAAATTGTTGGGTCAGAACTTGCAGGACTGAAATTCATTTTCTTTTCCTAATCCTTAATGGTTCAGATGCACAACAAGGCTGTGCACTGCAAAAAATATCCACCTAACCAAGTTTTAATATCTTATATCCAGTCAAAAAGTCTTTTTGATCTTGTTTTGAGACTGATTTACTAAACAAGAACTGATTGTGTAAGAATAATAATCTTGTTTTCAGAATGTGTAAGATTATTTGTCTTGTTAGTCTGAAAATTGGACTCAAATTAAGTCAAAAATTTCTGCCAATGGAGTAAGAACATTTTACTTGGTAAGATCCAGTGCCCCGGCACAAACAGAGCAATGTTGTATATGCTGTTAAGTGCCAGGAGGACTGCGACCAGTTATAC